CGCCCCGCCCCAGCCCGCGCTTGCCCCCTGCGCACCGCGGTGGCAGTAGTCGTTGAGGTAAAGGTCGCCATCCTCTGCCAGCCGCTGCCACAGCACCAGGTAGTAGGTGATGTTCCCGTTGCGCTGGGTCGGGGGCTTCCAGCGCACCAGCAGGTGGGAGGAGGAGTTGGACGTGGAGATGACGTCCTGCGGCACGGTGGGTGCTGGGTGGGCGAGGAGGGGGCAGCTCAGAAGCCGCGGGCCTCCCAATCACTGCTAATGGGCTTCCTAGGGGCACGTCTACCCTGTCATATGGGGACGCTATGAGAGGGCATCGACTAGGTAGCAGTGAGTGGGAGTCTAACCACCCTGATCTGCTCTCCAGGAACGGCTCATTCTCACCTTCCCCCCTTTTCTTCCTCCTTAGCCATTTCTCCTGTCCTCCCCAGATTGTGCTCAACTCAGCATGGTTTCACCCACCGCCTCCCTAGGACCCAGGTGAATGTCGCCTGTTCTTTACAGAGCACACGCATCTGCCCTCCAAGCCCAAGTGTCCGTCCCCTCTGCTTCTGTGCTGGATTCCTCCAAAGTCTGCAGCTTACCTGCTGGCAGTGTTCGCAGGTACACAATGGGGCTCTGGGCTCCTTGGTGGGGGCTGTCCTCGGCGGTGGTAAGCGTGATGGCCCGCACAAACACTGCGTACTGTGTCCAGGGCTTGAGTGGGGCCAGGGTCACTCCTGGCTCCTGGGTGCGGCTTAGGGGCAGCTCCACATCCAGCAGGTTCCAACTCTGGGTCCCACAGGCGTCTGGCCCCACGTGCTCTGTGGCATTCTGGAATGGACTGGACATCCCACCCGAGAGGTAAGGACCAAGGGAAGGCATCAGTTCCTAGCACCACCCACTTCTTAGAATTACCCTAGGCATGTCATTATCATTCGTCTCCCAGTGGGCATGAACAGAGTCTGTGAGACCCAGCGGGTCCTATGATATCTATGCCCCCAGAAGCCTGGGTGTGTGGATAGACACAGACTGGGTATTCCTCAGACTCTGGTCCATAGAGCAGCTGCGTCAGTCTCACCTGAGAGTTTGTTAGAGTTACAGATTCCTGGGCTCCACCTAGAACTAACTGAAGCAGAAGGTATGGGGTGGAGGTCCTGGAATCTGTATTTAACAAACTCTCCAGCTCCTCATTGCTACAGATTTCCATTCCCTACGGGAGCCCCGAAGCATTTGAGCAGATCTAGCTCTGACTTACTTCCTTCCCACTCTCCAGCCAGCGCCTCTGCTAGTGGACAACCCAGCCTGTCTCCATTTTAATGCAAGCCCCGGGGTGCCCACTCTCCATCTATTCGAGCCTGCCTGCCATCCAACACCCATCTCTCTTCTCTAGGGATTTCTACTTTTGATGCTGGCCATACTTTTGGACAAGCCGAACCACTATCCCTCTCACTGGGGTCAGTCCACTCCAAGAAGCTGCTAGTCCCTGGCGACCGGCTCCCTCCTTGCCTCAGGCTTTAATGAAAAGCTGGCAGAGCAACTGATAAAACTGGCCAAATTAGTGGGCACGACCCAAACCGCTGCCAGGGCAGAAGCATGTGGTCAGTGTAGAATATTAGCATAGTGAATTGAGGCTTAATTATCCAACGCTTCCCAGCGGGACACCTCTCATGTGCTCCAGAAGTCCCATTTGACTTGATGAGGGGAGACTGAGGCACAGAGGAAGGAAGATGGTGGGGAAGGGGTTAGAAGGCCTGGGCCTTCTAACGGAGTGCTATCAGGGGACCTCGCAGCTCTCCACAGCCCTGCCGGCCCAAGCTTGCTCTCGCCCGCGGCAGCTAGGAAATTGACCCGGCCCCGCCCTTGGCCCCACCCCGTCCAGCTCAGGCCCCGCCCTCGGCACGCACGACTCGCGGTAGTACACGATGAAGCTCAGCAGGTCGCGCGCCTCCAGCGGCTCGTAGCGCTCCCAGCGCAGCAGGATGCGGTCGGCCTCGGTCACATTGGAGACGAAGCGCAGGGTGCGAGTCTGGCCTGGGCGGGGGCAAGGGGCGAATACCTGCTCCCAATCGCTCTCGCCGCTCGCTCGAACCTCCTTCCCCCAAACTCCCATCCCCACCCCGCCGCATCGCGTTTCTGGCGTGACCGCGGCTGGAAACTTCTCCAGCGGACCCCTCCAAGCGCCCGCCCGGATGCGCGCGCCTGGGGTGTCTAGGGGGGTGCGCGCATCTGCGTGAGTGCGTCTCGGCCCGTGTCTCTCCCCGCGGGGCTGCCAGCTCTAGCGTCCGGGTCGGGGCCTCACAGGCAGCTCGGTCTCCGTTGGTGCGGGGGTTGATCTCCGCCTTGTTCTGCCGCCCCCGCGTGCCCGTCACCTCCTCCAACCGGTAGATGTGCTCCAGGCAGAGACGCGGGTTGAAGGCGAAGTAGATCTTGCCCACGGGGATGGTGAGCCCGGCGGCCACCCAGGGGCCCAGCTGCTGCAGGTTCTGGTTGTCCAGCACGTACAGAGTGTAGTTCCTGGGGAGGGCCAGGGTACCCTGATCTGCGCAGGAGGTGGGGGCAGGGGGCTGGGGCAGGGGGCAAGGGGTGGCTTATGGGCCTCCAGAAGGAGCTGCGTTGGAGGCACAGGCCCTCACACTTCTGGCAGAATATGCAGGCGGGCAAGGGGAGGGCGTGGCATGAGCTGTGGGGGCCTCCTCGTGGTGCCAAGGGTGGCCCCCACCCCGTGCTCACCTGCTGCCATTACAGGGGAAGCCTGGTAGGCACTGGGCCAGGCAGCTGTCCCCGTGGATGCCGAAGGGGACCAGAGAAGCTGAGCCCCCTTCCCCGGAGTCACAAGGTAGGTGGCAGAGCGCAGGTTCTGCACTATTGCCCTGGGAAGTGTGGGCGGTGGCAGTGAGGGATGAAGGAGGGGCTGGTCAGAGACTGCTTCTGACCCCTTACCCATCCACCATGACGTCTCCGCGAATGAGTTTGAGGTTCTTGAAGAAGCCCAGAGACACGAGTGCAAAGGAGTGCTTGATTTTGAGGAAGCCGGTGATGGTCTCCACCAGCCCCAGGCTGTGCTGCAGCTCCTGCTCCAGGTTGTCTGGGGATGGGGAAGGCAGGCTGGAGCACCGGCTCAGGAAGGTGGGCATCTAGGAGTGGGTCTTTGGGGCTGGGGCCCAGGGCAATAAAAAGGGAGGCTTTAGTGGGGTCTTTTTAAGGGGCATGGCTGGGGAGGAAGGGGGTGGCAGGGGTGAAGGGGTGTGACCTTTCGCAAGATACTGACAGCCCTGGCGGAGGTTGAGGATGAGGCTCCCCTCCACGTGGGTGCAGCCCGCCAGCTCTTGTGCGGTGTGGACAGAGTCGATGGTCTTGGTGCCCACCTTGCATTCTTTGGGGCACAGGCCCTCACACTTCTGGCAGAATATGCTGGCAGGCAAGTGGAGGGTGTGGCATGAGCTGTGGGACCTCCTGTGGCGCCAAAGGTGCCCCCACCCACCCCGTGCTCACCTGCTGCCATTACGGGTGAAACCTGGTGGGCACTGGGCCAGGCAGCTGCCCCCGTGGATGCCGAAAGTGGAGGCTCGGCCGGGCACAGAGCGCAGGCTGGCACAGTGCTCCACAGTGACACAGCGCCAAGACTCGTGCTGGTAGGTACCTGGAGGGCAGGCCTGGTGGCAGGCACCCTGGAAGTAGAGGTGGCGGCAGGCCACGCAGGCATGGGGGTCTTCGGGCCGGCTGCAGCCCCCCAGGCATTCAGCATGGCAGCACTCACCTCTCACCGTGCAGGCCAGCCCATGAGGGCACGGACACACTGTGGGCAGAGGGCAGTGTCAGACCTGACCCAACCCTGCCTCAGGCCTCACTCACCTCACTGCTGTCTAGCCTGTTCTGATTTGTAGTGGCCCTGTGGGGCAGAAAAGAGCTGCCCTTTTGGGTTTCTGAGGCTGTAAATCTTTACAGTAGTTAATTAGTAGCCTCATCTTTCTCCCACAGAGCAGCAGGCAGAGTCAAACTGCTAACCTTGTGTTAAGCAGCCCAATCCTGGCCCTATGTTCCTCCTCCCAGAAACCTTCTTGGGGTAAAAAAACGAAAACAAACTCCAAAACAAAAAAACTCAAAACCAAACGCGCTGCCTTCAGAGCCCATTCTGGCTCGTGCCAACCTTGTAGAACTGCCCCTGTGGGTTTTCGAGACTGTAACACTTTATGAGAGTGAAACGCCTTAATCTCTCATCTTCCGGGTGGCTGGTGGTTTCAAACTGTTGACCTTGTGGTTACCACAACACCACTAGGGCTCCCAGTCTGCAGCCAAACATGACAGTCCAGATGACAGTAACTGCTGATTGGGTGTCCCTCAGATAGGAGCTCTGGAGGGCCAGCACCCTCCCACTGTGGCTCGTCAGGGGCTGGTTGAACTCAGGACAGAGCAATGACCTTGTCCATTAGGACAGCTGTTCTCCAGCCTGCTGGCCTGTCTAGGTCTGGTGCCCAGAGCATCGCTGGGCACAGTGCCAGAGTGGACCAACCGCTCTCCCTTGAACAGCTAGGCCCAGGCAATGTGGACCTGACCACCATGGTTGCCCAGCCCATTCTGTCCGTCCTTCCTCCCTCCTCAGCTCCCAGTCCCAGGCAGGAGGCAGCCCCTAGCCACAGAGGGTAGGTGTGGGCCAAGTGCATAGTGGCAGCTGATGTCTGTGGAGTGCTACAGGGGCCAGGCCCAGCCGGGTGTGTTGACACCATACACCAGAGGACAAGCAGCACCGAGTATTTACAGCCAACAGGGAGGAGGCCCGAAGGATACAGCAGGGATCTGGTTACCCGGCTGCCCTGAGGGATGGGGGGTGGGGCTGTCCTCCAGCAGCTGCGTGGGAAGATGGACCCCAGAGCCATCCGGCCTCTGAAAGGGATTCCTGTCCTCCCCTGTCTCTTTCACTCTCCCTCCTCCAGTGGCTCCACTCAATTTTCCTCTCTGGTTTTTGCTGCACCCCATCCCCCCACATCTTCCCACCGCAGCCCCTTCCTGGAATGCATCCTATTTCCTGAGGGAGCTCCTACCACACACACCTGCCCTCACCTGTCTGTCACCTCTCACCTGGCACCCACCCTGTCCATTACTATGCTGCCTGCCATCTCCGCACCCTAGGGCAGTAGGCAGTTGTAGTATGAACAGAGAGCTGCCGGCCAGGCCCCAGGCCCTGTTGAGGCCGCTAGATCAGCTCATTGCTCAGAACAGCGCTGTGGTCATTTTACAGAAGAGTAAACTGAGGCAAGGCTAAATGAACAAGCGGGCCATCTGGTTTTCTACATAAGCACTGCCCCGCCCTTACTTTGGGTATCCTCACATGCTCACCTGTTCCTTGAAGTCATCTTGTGCCTTCTAAAGAAAAAACTAAACACACTGCCATTGAGTCAATCCCAATTCCTAGTGACCTTACAGGACAGGGTAGAACTGCCTCTGTGGATTTCTGACGCTGTAACCCTTTCCAGGATACAAAGCCACGCCCTTTACCCCAGGGGGCAGTTGGTGGTTTTGAACTGCTGACTTTGAAGTTAGCAGCCCATACCCACCACTCTATACCCCACTGAGCCACCAGCCTGCCTCTTGTGGCAACACAGCACCTACTGGCCCAGCCCTCGTGCCCACCTTTCTGGCAGTGGCTGGAGGTCCAGCACCTGTAGTCAGTGTGTCCGCTGAAGGTGGTCCTGGCACAGGGCTCGCCGGCGGCGCCCAGCGTTCCGGGGCACACGTCGGCACACTCATCGCCCGGCTTGTTGCCCACGATGTGGTTTGCCCCGGGCGAGGGCTGCAGCAGGCCCCAGTCGATGGTGGAGACGTGGCACAGCTCCTGGTTCTTCTCCACTCGCACTGCGCCCCGCAGCACGGCCCCCAGCGCCGGCAGCCCCACGTCCCGCAGGTGCGGCATCTCGAAGATGACCAGCGCGTAGCCCAGGAAGAGGCGGGTGCCACGGATGACCGCTAGGTTGGGGAAGAGGTCTCGCAGGCTCTCCAGGCCGTAGACTCGGAAGAGCAGCAGGTAGTCGGTGACCTGCGTCAGGCGTGGGAAGCTGAGGCCGCGGAAGTCCTCCCCGGTGGCCGTGAACATGAGCAGGATCTGCAGGTGGCCCTCCACCACACTGCAGTTATCCAACCGTCGAAGCTCTGCCACCTCTGAGCGGATGTCCAGACTGGGGCACACTGTGGGCACAGGCAGTCAGCCCAGCTCAGCCCCGGCCAAGCACCCCTATTTGCCCTGGCAGCTTCCCATGGCCGGAGCCACACTGGCTATGGGACACAGGTTCTGCTCTGGGGTGGGTTGACCACCTCCCTGGGCTCCCAAGACCTCTCTTCAGAGGAGCTCTAAAGGAGCCACCATGAGGCAGAGGGCTCCTCACCCGCACCCCACCCCAGCCTACTCCCCTTCTCGATTGAGGGTCGCTTCCCTTGTGGCCACTGAGAACCCCATCCTTGGAGCCATCCTGGATTTCCTGTCCTCAGAGCCCATGGGCTCTTTCTTTCCATATCCCCAGAGCCCGGCACTTATAGTCAACGTGTCCTTGCTTCCCCAGGCTCCCACAAGATCTCCCTGTTTCTGCTCATGTCACCTCTGTCTGGTCCCCATTCCCCAAACATGGGTTGGATCATGTCTCCTATGCTTAGAGCCCGCAGGGCTCCCACCTCGCTGGGTATGCATGGAAAGCCCCCACAGCCTACCCTGCCAGGCGGTGCGTGATGTGGCCCCTGCGATCTCTCTGACTCCATCCCTTTCTTCAACAACACTGACCCACAAACAAGCCAACCCCACGCCGGCCTTGGGGCCTTCGCACCCTCTATCCCTCCTGGCAGGGCCACTCTTCCCTCCACACAGCCTCTTCCCCCCTCAGGATTTGCTCAGAGTCTTCTCTTCTTCCACGAGGCCTTGTCTGGTCAACCTGTTTAAAATCGCAACACTCCCTATCGCCTCTCCGACTCTTATTTTTCTCTGAAACTCTATAATAGAAACTTCACTTGTTTATTTTTTCTTATTGTAAGTTCCAGAAGGGCAGACATCTGTATAATTCACTGTTCTACCGCTAGTGTCTGGCACAAAATTGGCAATCAATATTGGATGGATGCATGGATGGGAGGATGGAGGGATGGGTGGATGGATGAATTCTGTGGCTAGGAAGCAGTGGACTGAGCTTCATGTATTCCACTTCCGTTCAGCCCTAAGAGGGCTAACTGGCTGGTCCTTGCACTTGTATACTCTGGAATGACTCCCCTTTGCCAAAGGTTCAAGCTTCAGCCTGATACTTTGGGGTGTTGGTGAGCTGGTCCCCACTAATTTCTCCAGATCAGAAGGGGCACTCAGCTGGTACCGCCCCCCACCCCTTTATTGTTCAAGCCTCAGGTCCTGCCTGCTCCCCTGACATCCAGCCCCTCCCTTGTTAATCACTTCTCCTTTAGGCTGGGCAGCAGGACAATGTCCAGCAGGGCAGTCTATCTCTGTGTCCTTCTCCAAGGAGGGCGCTGTGAGTGTGGGGCTTTTGCTAGTCAGCTCTGTATTCCCTGATAGTGTCCAGTCCAGGCCTGAAGACAATGGGTGCCCAGGGACCATGGCTTGAATCAGTTGGCACCCGAGTCCTAGCCTCCTTCAGATTCAGAGCCCTAGCTCCATTTCCCCACTCTCTCCCTAATGACACCTAGTGGCATTTCCAGAAGGGAGATGGATATCTGGTCTCTGCACTCACTTGACCTCAGGGGGCCTTCCGTGGCTCCCCATTGCCAAAGGTCCAAATGGGGCACTCTTCAGCCTGGCATTCAGGCCCCATCCCCTTCTTCCTCATGCTGCCCTTCACTGGCAGGTTCCAGGGCCCATCCCCCACGGTTTGTTTAGGGTGGATGGGGAGGAACCCAGGAGCAAGGCTCATTCCCTGGGGTTTACGCACCTTGTCCTGTTTTGTCATTGTGGCCCTGAGCTTGATTCTGCCCAGCAGCAGAATCATGTGTGTGTGTGTACATGCACGGGCAAACGTTCAGGTACACGCAGACAAAAGTGGAGAGGGAGAGAGAGGAGGGGGAATGGGAAACCACTTCTGGCCTTTCCTGGTGTGGGCCAATCAGGCTTTCTGAGGCAGATGCCCCCCCCCCCCCTTCTCTCAGAAGCCCACATGCCACTTCCCAGCCCTCTCCGACCTCTCCAGGGCTCCCCTGATGGGAGTCATTTGGAAAAACAAATCCAAGACCTTCACAGATTAACCCCTGCCTCCCCTCAGGCTGCTGCGATTGCTGTGCAGAGCTGCACTGGGAACAGCACATCTGGGTCTCCTGACAACATGCCCTGCCTGCTTCGGACGTGCTCTGCCCTGACAACCTCCCTCCCAGCTGGCATTTGCTGTGCCCCATCTGAACCCTCTGCAGGAGAGGAGGGGAGGAGGGCCTGCACTGGGGGCGGTGCCTCTAAGCCCCCCTCTAGGAGACCCCCATCCTCAGATGTGCATAGTTCCTCTCCCTGTAGAAAAGGGAGACATCCCTGCTCCCTGGAAGCCCTCAGTCTGAGGGGTCAGGGGACCCCTCAAGCAGAGACAGGGCCCATCCACCATGGAAGCAGGTTGAGAGCGCTGGTCTCAGGCTCTGCAGCCCCCCTCAGCCTGGAGGGGCCTGGCGAGGCTGGGGAAGGTGATGCCTCCTAGCCCTCCCCCTTTGGACTCTTCTATTCCAAAGACTCCTGTCCTCAAGCCCCCATAAAAGCCATTTCTTCACTATCTTCCCAACACCCCTCTGGAATCGAGTAGGAAGTTTCTGGTCCAGGGTTGGCAGAAAGCAGTCTCCCCAACACCAGCCACTCACCCAGCCTCGAGTGAGCCCTGGGCATGGAGGGCGGGAGGAAGGACCTGGTACAGACTCCTGGACGCAGGAGCTCAGGACCCAGGCTAACTTGGCCCTTCTGAGCCTCAGTTTCCTTTCCACACAATGGGTCCACTTGCTAGTTCTCAGCGACCAGCCCCTTTCCCCTTCTGTGGCTCCAGAGATGGCCTCAGAGAACCTCCCAGCCTCATTCCAGTTTGCACTCAGGCTCCGCTGGGATCGCAGGCTTACAAGTGGGAATCTTTTCACTGCCCCCCCGAGCTGATTCTGACTCACGGAGACCGGAAAGCAGGGTAGAATTCCCCTGTGGGTTTCCAGGACTGTAATTTAAAAAAAATTTTTGTGTGTGACTGTAACTCTTTAGGAGAGTAGCAAGGCCTGTCTTTCTCCCTGGAAGCACACCTGGTGGCTTTGAATTGAAGACCTTGTGGCTCAGCCCAAAGTGCAAACGCACAACCACTACACCACCAGGGCAGGAACTGAGGCCAGCTCTTCACACACCAACAGGGAACGAACCGGCCTTCCTGATGGGAAGTCCTTCTAACAGCTAATTCCCATGGCAGCACCTAGGATGCTCACAGGTAAACAGATGTATCTGGCTGGACGCTCAGTTGTTTGGGATCCTAGCTCGCTGACAGGGCGCCAGCCAACGGTCAGGGAGACGGTGCCGGGGACTCACCCTCCACTGTGTCTAGGCTGAATCCCAAGGACAGGAAGGTCACAAGCAGGCATGCTATCCAAGGCCACGGGCTGGGCATTGCCATTGTCTCAGGGCCGGCGCTCCTCCGGATGGTCCTGTGAGAAGGGTTGGTGGGCCCTAAGAGAAACCTTTCAAGGACAGAAGAGTTGTGTGGCAGGGGCAGAGACAAGGGATTCAGCACAGAGTCGCGAGTGAGGACATGAAGTAGTAAGAATCAGAGATACCAAGGCAGTGATGCTTCTGGAGGCAGAGTGGGAATCCAGAGACAGAGATGGGGTGGAGATGCAGACGGCAGTGACCGAGAGAGGCGCAGAGAGGACTCCAGGAAAAAATAACCGAGCAAAAAGCAGGCCAGGAGACCGACCAGCACGGGGCCAAGAGGAAGCGCTGAGAGTGAACTAGAGCAGCACGATGCAGCCGGGTGGCGCGCTCTGACCCAGCGGCGTGGAGGGGCTTCTCTTCAGACCCCTTGGGACAGACAGATGCGCTGGGTTCTCGCTGCCGAGCTTTCTCCTGGAGGATACCTGAGGTGGGGGTTCCCCTCCCGGGTTGCCCGCCCCCCCCTGACACTGGTTTCTCGCGGACCCACTCTCTCCGCCCCTCCACCTGGCCAAACCAAAATATTTAACCTGACAACTGAGGAGGTGGGTGGAGAGGTCTGTTGGGGAAATAAGGCCAAAGTACAGGGGAGGGGGACTAGGTAAGAGCTGAGCCCCCCTCCTTTCCTGCGGGAGCTTGGGGGTGGGGGGCGGACCAGGCCTGCTGCTTGGGCGGGTCAGAGAGCAAGGGGTTTTCCTGGAAAGGGGCTCTTCTAGGTTCTGCTATTTGGGGATCCCGACACCTGCGGGCTACATTCCCACGGCCCCAGTGGAGCAATGGCTCTTTGAAAGAGCCCAGACATGAAATGTGGGCCCGGAATATTCAAGCCCTGAGACCCTCAGGCCCACTGGCCTCCCAGGAGGTCGCTTTTCGTCCTTGGAGTGGGGGCTCCTTAGCGGAAGGCTTTGGCTGCGTCCTTCGGCCAAGATGCTCCAGAGGGCGATCGCAGGGGCCTCCGCCTCTTGTCTGGTGGTCTTTCTGAACTCACACTCTTCTGTCAGTCTCACGGTCGGTCGGTCCTGTCTCCCGGACCTGGGGTGCAGACCTCATGCTTCCAGGAGGACTTCCCCGTTCACGACCTGGGGTTCTCAGCTGCCCCCAGCCCCCAAGAGACCCTCCTTCAAAGCCCTCTCCTCCCCACTTCTTCCCTCTTTATCTTCCTGCCTCCCCCCACCCCACTCCCCACTCCTGGAGACAGCTCCCGCCAGCTGGGGGAAAGGGGCCGGTCCCCAGAGTGCTGGGGATCCCGGGACTTTCCGGGTGCCGCCTGAAGTCCACGGGTTCCCAGCTCCACCCGCGGGAGGCTCCCGCGTCCGAGCACCTGAGAGAAGATCTATTAATTTCTCAGCGCAGAAATCGATACTCTGTCAGGGCGGCGATCGATGCCAGCCCTGCCGGACCCGGGGCCAGCGCTGGCGAGTAGGGGTCGGGCGCAGACCCTGGAACCCGAGGCGCAGAGCGTTGGCTGCTCTAGACAGCTGCACCCCGTCCCTCTGCCCGGGCCCAGCCGGGAGCCCAGGTGTTGGCGCACCTGTCTCTGGCGCCACCCCGTGGCCTCTCGTGGAAGGGCGGGGTCTGCACCCGCTCTCCTCTTCTCGTGCTACAGGGGGGCGTACCCCTCTTTCTCTGCTTCGCCTCCGCTTTCCTTCCCCAGGCTGTGAGTTTCATCCTTTGCGCGCTCCTTCTTTCGTACCCCTAATTTACCCCCAAGTGACAAACACCCTCCCTCCGGCACGCGCGCCCTAAGGGAGCTCCGTGGCTGGGGGCTGGCTAGGGTGGCCTGGATGGCAACCTTTCCCCAACGCAGTCATTTCGCCTCCTCCCTCCTCACATCCTCAGATGCAGCTGCTTTAGGTCGGGAAGAAAAACGTATCAACATCTCAGAGCCCCTACTCTCCGCAGGGGGGGGGGGCGGGGGGCGGGGATTTCAGAGCCATTTATATCTTTGTCCTCCAAACAAACTGTGACCTGATAAATCCCACTTGTTCCTAATGGCAAAGTTGGCATAATAAACCTATCACAATGTCTCAAAATGAGAAATGATTAATTATTCTACTTTATTATTCTATTTAAAGATTACATTGGCTATTTGAGGCCTTTGATATTCCATATAAACTTGAGGCTTGGCTATTTCAGTTATAGAAAGACATCTGTTTGAATTTGGATGAGGGTTTCATTGAATTGATCATTTTCTTTAATTAGGACTGCCATCTTAAAAATATTAAGCCTTTCAGTCCATGACACTGAATGTTCTTCCATTCATTTAATTTCTTTTGGCAAAGTTTTATGGATGTATTCATTAAAGTTTTAAATGTATAATTCCTTTGCCTTCATCTTTAAATTTGTCCGAAGGTTCCTTAATCTTTTGAATAACATTATGGATGGAATTGTTTCTTTAATTTCCATTTTAGCTGACTTATTGCTGTTATAAAGAAAACCAAGTGATTTTTATGTGGTTGACCTTGTACCTTGATATGCTGCTGAACTTATTTATTAGTTTCCTTCTGGACCCTAAGTATTTTTGTTATATTAACTTTATCTATGCCATTTTCATACTAGGAATCGAGCTGGATGAAGATGCATCTCTAGATGGAAACAGCGATTTAACAATTAAAGGGCGCCTACTGTTGCTGGTTGAAAAGGTGACAAATCTAAAGAATAAACAAGCAGAAAAACCAATTGAGAGTGACTCCAAGAAATCCTGTGAGTGCTATGTCTTCACTGCAGAAATCTACCCATCTTTTGAATGAATAATATAGTAGATGAGCCATTGAGATAATCCAAGTAGCTATTGATGCCTATAGCTACCAAAAGTATATTGCAGGCTCAAAAAATATTTTTTAGGAACAGATTGAGAGCATGAAGCATTTAAGAGTCGATGGAGCATCTTAGGGAACTAAAAACACAGATATTTGATCAGTGATATTTCCAAAAACATGAAGGGAGTAATTGAAGTTTCATATCTAAATACTATAGTGCTGCTTTTCAGTATCCTTGCATCTAATAAAATATTTTCTTAATGTTTAAGTAGATACCATCGTGACTGCATTTTGCCTCTAGCATATTTTACATGTTATGTACTCTGGTTCTTCCATATCCTATTTAACTATAAAGTAATGATTACTACTCTTTTGGGGATTGTCCTTCTTAAGTGGGTGGTGATACACTGATACAAGGGGGTTAAAGAAGGCAGTCTGAGAGATACAAATTTATTTATCTCAACTTGGAAACATTACTGATTTCAACTTGCAATTGAAAATCATTATTTATACAACTACTCGATTTGTTCTTTATTATTACACTCAAAGTTGAGTTCAACATATTTTTTAAAAATCATTTTATTGGGGCCTACATCAGTTGTGTCAAGCATATTTGTACTTATGTTGTAATTATCATTTCCAAAACATTTTCTACTTGAGTTCCTGGTATTAGCTCCTCTTTTTTTCCCTCCCATCATCGTGAATCCTTGATCAATTATTTATTGTTATTATTATTTCATACTTTAAACTGTCCTTGTCTCCTTTCACCCACATTTCTGTTATTTGTCCCCATGGGGGGAAGGGCTACATATCTAAACTTGTTATGGGTTCCCTCTTTCTCCCCCTCCCCCTCTCCCAACCATCCCTCTTCCTTCATGGTACTGCTATTCCCACCACTGTTACTGTGGGGTTAATCTGTCCTGAATTCCATGTGTCGATAGTTCTTATTTGTATTAATGTCTGTTCTCTGGTCTAGCCAGATTTGTAAGGTAGAACTGGGTCATGGTAGTGGGAGTAGGAAGGATTCAGGAACTAGAGGAATGATATGTGTTTTGTCGGTGCTATACTGCACCTTTGTTGAATCACCCCTTCCTTATAACTCTTCTGTGGGAGATATCCCGTTGTTTACAGTTGGGCTTTGGATCTCCACTCCAAACCCTCTTGTTCACATCAATATAGTTGTTTGTTTTGGATCTTTTAATACCTGATCCCGTCGACACCTCATGATCACACAAGATGATGTGCTTCTTCCATGTGGGCTTATTTGCTTCCCTGCTGGATGGCTGCTTGTTTAACTTCAAGCCTGTAAGACTAGACGCTATATGTTTTGATAGCCGGACATCATCCACTCTCTTCACCATTTGCTTATGCCCCCATTGTGTCTTGACTGATTGTGTCGGGAAGGTGAGTATCAAAGAGTGCCAGGCTATTAGAACAAAATGTTCTTGTGTTAAGGGAGGCCTTAAGTAGAGTTTAAAAGTCCATCTGCCATCTTATCACTTAACATATAAATATACGGACATTGGCCTCTATACCTTTCATTCTAAATTAGTATATTTACATATATACATCCTATAGCTATATCTCTATAAATAGCTATTGCTCCTATTTCTTTCCTCTATTTCCTTTAAACTTCCTCCTATCCCACCATCATGCTCACCATTCTTTTGGATCTCAGTATTTCCTCTTGAATACATTCCCCTTGATTAAACCCCATTAGGAATTATACACCCTCCTCACTATCAATTTTAGATTTCTTGTTGATCCCTTATCTCTGAATTTGTTGGCTTCCCACTCCCTCTCCCAGCTTCCTCTTCTCACGTGTCCTCTTATTACATAGGGAAAAATAAAAACAAACAAATACAAGAAAACAAGGGAAAAAATAGTTACCTCCAGGTCTGTCTACTGACCCTTATGTATGTTTGCTGAGCAAGTCTGATGAAATACCAAGCCCTGTTCCCCAAGTCAGAAGTCTATTTTCAGGATTCCTCAGGGACGTGGTTACTTTGCTCCTCTTGCTGCATTGTTGCACTCCCTTTGCATTTCATCCCACTGGGCATGGGGAAGACTGGCACAGTGACTCCAGTGCTGTTCCCTGTAGTGCTATGGATCAGTGAGGGCATGTCATGTCTCATGTTGAGCCTTACGGTCCTCTCTGCACATTGGCTGCTCTGCATTTTTAATATGATCTGGTTGAGAGATTTTAATGAGTCCAGAAATTTTCCAGTACTATATTAATCTAATGACATAGTGGTTATGCATTGTGCTGCTAATCATAGAGTCAGCAGTTCAAAACCACCGGCCAGTCCATGGAGAAAGATGAGGCTTTCTACTCCCTTAAAGAGTTATAGTCTTGGAAACCCACATGGGCAGGGCTATCCTGTTCCATACATTTGCTATGAGTCAGAATCAACTGTGTGGCATTGAGTTTTTTGAGTTACATTGTATATTGCATTGCAAATAATCTTCTTTGAATAAAATATTTTCACGTAATATACCACCACAATATGAGAAAATATTTTAGGTAAAATAAGAACTTCACATATGAATGGAAATTAAAGTCACTGTTATAAATGATTCAACTGAAAAGACAATTAGGTAACGAAATAACCTGGCATGCCTATGACTTCCCTTTTAAAAGATATATGATGCTTGATCCTCTGGGAGGAATACAATGGTCTTTGGCAAAAATAGTAATCGTAAAAAGGCATCCAATGTGGATGCCATTCTTTAAATTATTTATAGATTATTACAAGTAGGTAAAAGACATCATGCTTGGTAAAGTAGAGGGGCTATGAAAAGGAGGAAGAACCTTGACAAGATGTGATTTCAACAATGGGCTCAAACATAAGAACACTTGTGAAGTTGGTACAGGACCAAGCAGTGTTTCATTCTGTTATACATAGGGTTGCTGGGAGTTGGACTTGATTTCAACTAAACAACAACCATGCACCCTTGATAATTTATAAATTATTATTATATCTTATATTACACTGCCCAGCGTCTCCTTTCACCTACCCCTCTGCTGCCTGTCTCCCAGAGAGGAGGTTATATGTAGCTCCCTGTGATCAATTCCCCCTTTCTAC